AGAGGTCCTGGTTACAGTATTATGTGGTGATGTAGTTAAAGGTTATTTTCTAATGCATGTATGTAAGTAGGTTATGATTGCATGTGATAACACTGCTTGTGATACTGCTCAACTTCAGAGTGTTTGACAGAGTAGACAATACTACTGTGGTGTTTTCCACCTAAAACTTCCTCTATTTAAATTGATTATCTTTAAAGGTTACTTTTTAGTATCAATTATACTGGTAGAGTAATCTTCACTGGATTGGAACTATCTTCACTCTGCTCTTCTATAGCATACATTTCTCTATTTCAGTCAAAAATAGAACTGCTTGCTTCTTAATTACATTGGATAGGCAATAAGGCAGTCATGGTTGGTACTTTTCCTGTGGGTATTGTTTGCTGACAGCATTTCTTTGTGACTTGGGAGTAAACTTTAACTTCAAGTCTTCCCCAGTCTTTACTGGCTCCATTAGTGCTCTCTTAATTCTGATTTATCCCTTGTCATGGCTTACACCTCATGTTTTCCTTTCTTGATTCCTCATTCCAGATTTTGCCTAGCTCCAGCTCTGGTGTCTTGTACGCGTGTGGTGGTATTCCCTCCTTCTGGGTCTTCTACCCTCATGTTTGTTCTCTGCTAGTAACAGTGGATGAATTGAAAGTACTCAGGACAGATGCTCTGGTTTTCATTCTAACTGGCACCGTAACATCAAAACCGGGTAGATAAAGCAAATTGTGGAGCATGCTCTGTATAGACAGATGTTGAGAGAATTTGTCTGTGTACTTGTTAAAGGGATACACCTATGGAAAGTTTTCAAAAGCCTGTTGTTTGTCTGCATTTGGATAGATTTGCACAACAGCAGTAGCAAAAGGTACAAACTGATAGTAAGGTCTCTGTCACATTTCAATTACCAATTTGCATGCATGAAGCACTACGTACAATTTTTTCTAAAGGTAGTAACATAGAATATTTTTCCTCTAACCTTGTTTTGGAATTGTTTGAGTCATTTCTTCTGAAGCTTCCTCAAATATAGTAAGCAGTTGTATGAGAAGGTGAACTTCATTTTAGGAAATTTTTTAGCAGCTGGAAACGGGAACTTATAAGGACAAATCATGGGCAGCACATTATCATCAAGCTGTGTCTCCTCTTGATGCAGGGGTTTTTATTGCTATTTTAAGATCTTCTTAAATAAAATTTCTTATACTCTAATGGGATAACTGTATACTCTTAAAATTATACTATTTTCAGTCTTAATATGGAGGACTGCAGTGCTTAAAAGTCAGAATTTCAGGGATATATTACGTTTAGTTTAAACTTTAAACATAGCTTTTTGTTTCTCTTTAGGATCAGCATCTCAGTACTCCCTAATTGTTTAGTTGGAGGAAACAGTTGGCTGTTTTCAGTTGTAGGCAAATACCAAAATGTAGACTGTAGATTGCTCAAATGTGAGATTATTAAGGATTTTTGCTTACAATAATATGACTATTAGAACTGTTATCTGGGCAGTGTTTCTCTAGACATACTTGAAATTGGTTACACCCATCTTTTGGCTACATAATGCAGGACTTGAGTTCTTGGGACTGAATTATGTTTACAGGGATGATGCAGCCAATTTCCCTGCTGCTTCATCATTTCTGTGAAATTACTTATTACCCATGTGTTCATTCTTACACACTGGTTACTGCCTTAGGAAATTCATAGTCCTTCACCATAAAATGCTGTTTTTATTTCAGACAAGAAAATATCTTGCTGTTGCAATGTATGTCTCAGCAACTGACTTCCAGGTATCTAGAATGAAGTGGTGCTTTCAGTGATCAACTTAATGACGAAATGCTTACTGGTTTGTTTAAAGATTATGACACAATACTGCCATATTAGGAAAAACTGATGAAACAAGGTGTTTCAATAAAGCATGTAAAATTCATTTTTCTAGGGAAGAAATAATATTTTTGGTAAATAACTTCTCTAAGAAGTGTAATCTATGGTAAAGACAGGTCCATCTGGGACAGCATCCTGTTCCCCAAAACCAAAAACAAGCTAAGGAAGAGAACTTACAAACTAGGACAATACCAAGTGAAACTTCAATAGAGCATGGTCACAGCCTGTCAAAATACTCAGCTCATGCAGTTCCTGGGCTGCAAGTGGGGTCATTGCATTTAATAGGCAGAATACTTCTTTCTTCCATGAATGCTTATTGCTTTTTGAACCCAGTGTAACCTTTAGTATTCATAACATTTCACTGCAAGAATTATCATGGCCTAAATTTACACTGTGTAAAGAGCCACTTCTGATGATTTTTCACCTGTCATGTAGTAATTTAATTTGGTATTCCCTAGGCAGTGAACTATCTTCCGTCCTTGTGTTGTTCAGAATACTACAGCCAGGGTACTTAATACAGCAGTGTATTAAAAATATTGGTAGCTTTTTATGAAGTTCTTGGGACATAATGCAATTAATCATATATTGTCTATATAGTTAAGCGTGTGGTTTCCTATCAAATTTTTCATGCACTTTTTCATTCTGATATTAAGTATCTGTTGCTACTGTATCCTTTTTCCAGCCAGTTCTGCTATGTGGAATTTCAGCACAGCTTTGATCAAAGGCATTGGTTTATTCTAAAGAAGACTTTAAAATAAAATATGTATCTAGGCTGATGATTCGTCACAGTTGAGACAGCACTGTTTGAAAAGAACAACATTATTAAGTTGATAGAAATGGTGACGGGCTTTTAACTACAAATGTGCTCCCAAGCTGTGTGGCGATGATTGCTCTGTGTAATACATTTTTTAAAAATATTTCAGATAGCTTAATTTAATCTGTTTGTTGTCAGGCTTCATCATTTGGGGGAGGTTTGGAGTTTTTTCCTAGCTCAGTAGTTGCTGACCTACTTGTCTGTTTTCTAAATAAAAATAGATTTTCTCCTTTATTGACAGTCTACCTATGTAAACTGAAAGCCAGTATTTGAGCAAGAACTTGCTCAAATAGCTTATCCACTTGGAGGTTTTCGTGTGAATTTCCAATTAGAACAGGAAGGCCAAATGGTGTAAATGTTATTATGGTAAGCAGATGGGAGATTTAAAGGGCAGTAAAATATAAATGGAACGAGGAGCTTTGATACTGAACAGCATGTTTGCTGTAAAACATCCGTTTAATTTACTTGTTAAAAGCTGGAACATTAGGCTGGCCATTTTTGATACTTCTTTTGCTTTCTTAAAGTAAGTGGAAAAAATGTTGCTTGATTGTCCTAGTTTATCTTCTATTTTAAAACTAGGTTAAATTAAAAATACAAATGTTCATTTCCTTCAAAGGTGCTGAGTAAACTCTCATAATTATTAAAACACGTGTTTTAATGTCTTGAAATTTGATTTCAGCAAATTATTTTTGTAGCTGTAACTTGTAATCTTCGTATTTCCTATGAATAAAGTATAAAGCATAACGGAGATGCTGTATCACACACTGAGTTGGAGAACATTAACTGGCCATAATTTTCGTTTGAAGAATGTGTTGTGATACAGCTGTCGAAGGATAACCATATTGTAGATATCATATTGGCAATACATATTTTCTTTTTTATTGAGTAAATCTTTAAATCTTTCTAATTTCTTCCATTTCAATTGCTTTCTAGTTTTTAACTGCGTTGACAGCTCTGCTGGTTCATTTTAGCACCTGCCATGGTATGGCTTCAACTTACTGTTGTGTAAAAGTCTGTTTCATCATTTTCAGATGCAGTTTTGGCTTAACTCGACCCTCTGTATGTTTTTTTGATTAGCGGTGTCCCTCCTTGATTGCAGCTTGCTTGATGGGGCAGTGCTGGCATTGTCCTCTTACTCAGTGCTTACATCTTAGTCTTGGTTTTGAGAACACGGCTGCATTCTTGTTAATATGCAGATTATGCTCATCTGCTACAGGCTTACGTCTACTTGTAGTCCATTTGCTACCCTTGCATAATTTCACAAATGACATATAAAAGAGAAGAGAAACGCCAGCTATTTGGTACTGGGGGGAACGCAGACTGGTTGCTTTTTATTTTCTTTTAGCTTCTCTTTTAGCGAACACAGAGTGGTAACGAATGAATGATTGCTTTGGCTTGCTTTTTCTTCCAGGGAGTTTTGGAACACTTCTTAAAGGCTTTTCCAAGTATCAGCCATTGAATTACTCTGGAGAGTGCTTGTAATCATATTTTGTCCAGTGTCAAGTAGGCCATATTATGTGATGAAGTTCTCCATAAAATATTTTATCCAGTTTTAAAGTTTTGTTTTCTTTTGTATTTTATGACATTTTAAATAGCTGTGGGTTTTCTCTGTGGAAGTATGTAGCATGTCATCTTGTTTATTGGAAAATTAAGGAAAAGTTTTTTGTAAGAGAACTGTCATTTTTCTTATAAATAACTTCTAAAGGGTTCATTTTGCTCGGCTTTGTTTATAATTCTAAATGTACCATATTTAATTTCCAAGATAAAAGTTTTACTGAGAAAACTTAACATTAAATAAGCAAAACTTCCTTTAATTTAATCTTTCATTTGGTGCTGTACAGAGGACCTGAGCTTAAAACCAGACGAGGTAGTTCTTTTTTGCAGGAAAACATAATCACGCACATGCAAGTTACTTGCTATATTTTGTGAACACTTACCGCATTGTTTATTGATTCTGATAGTGAAGCATTAATCCCACAATTATCTTGATAGTAAGCGGTTTACTATCCAAAGCTTCCTGACAATTTGGCATATGATTTTGACATTAACTAGCTACTTGGTCATTTTGGAAGAGTTTACCTCTGGTCAAATTTGCCTACTTTCACGAAGCTGCTCAGACTATGTAAATCTTGAGCCTGTCACTTCCTGTGATTGCTGGATTCAGTGCATGCTATTGAGAACACTGTATTTTCAGAGGCTTTATGTATTCTGCTCACAGTGTTTGCTGAGCAGGAACTGTAGCTAAAAATAACTAAAATGAATTTCTCTGTGTTTCTTTCTCACTACAGGATGACGTAGCTTTGCCAAGGATTTATCAGCTAAGCAGAAAATGAGCTTAACATCCTGGTTTTTGGTGAGCAGTGGAGGCACCCGCCATAGGCTGCCACGAGAAATGATTTTTGTTGGAAGAGATGACTGTGAGCTGATGTTACAGGTAATTACATCAGCCTTCCATGTGCAGCTGCTCAAATCGTGAACTTAATGCACCAGTTTTATGTTCTTTTTGAAAATTACGTTCCCCAGCTGTTGGGGAGCAATTGTTTTCATTAATCTTTTGTGTTCATAGAAAAAATTAGTTTAAATGTATTGCTGTCAATCGTACAGTTACTGACAGAGTGCAGAGGTTCACATTTTCTTCGTATAAATCACATCTAGAACACAAGAGCAAAAGATGGAATGAATTTTCTAATATGATCAGGAAAGTAAGTAGACTGTGTGCTTCACGAAGTGTGATAATGCTAGGTGCACTGGATGCTTTTCAAAAGACCTTTATTTTTCCTGCAACTTGTAATCTAGTTTAGTCACATGATTTGATGTAACTCTATACCCATGTCCTGATCTTGTTGTGCAAAGGTAAATTAAATTAGTAGAGAAGAGTATTTCTCTATTTCAGAGGAAGTTGAATGACTCAGACTCAGTAATGGTTTCAGTGGAACTGTAAAAATACAATCAAAAGTTTGATACTTCAGTAGCTTCCTCAACTCTCAGGATCACTATGAGAAACTCTTAGAGGTGTGTAACTGTATTGTTATGTAGCCATATTGCATGCGCTTTGCCCTATCCAAGCTGTGGTGTTCAGAGCTACTTCGTTCTAGTAGTTAAGTATTTTTGACATGGTAAATGATAATATTTTGGAAGTTTCTTCTTGTCTTTGGTTACTGTAGAACTCTTAAGAGGATTGAACTTCAAAACTAATATTCTCAACCCTTCGTAATGTAAAGAAAGCATTTTCTTTTGGATATTTTGTTCCCAAGAGTTGCGTATGCAGCCATTAATGACCAAATTAGAATCTTACTTGCAAATGAAGTGCCTAGAAACCTATTTTTATGTGTATTACTCAGAATGTAATATGTCTAGTAAACTGCATTTAGCTCTCAGCCTCGGGAGGCATCCAAAGGTTTTATTAGTGATGGAAATACTTAGTCCTGTTAGAAAGTAGTTGAAAATACTCTTAATTCCTCTTTAAGGACAGGCAGTATGATCTCTCGGTGACTTAGGAAGGAAGTGTTAAGAACTGCAAACAAACCAACAAACAGACAAAAAGTCCCCAACACCCAAAGCAGACAAACAAAAACCCCCACCCTTTTGGTTCCTGCCCAGAAGATTATAATCAAAAATTGCTTTTATTTTGCCAGTAGCTTGTTGTAATGAGTTGTTGTCTCTGAATATGGAAGCCTTTTCTTCCTTCTGTCTCCCCTGTGCCGTCTCCTGTCTGTGGCTGATTGGTCCTTAGAGTGAAGAGGAATGCTCAAGCATTTATTATTTTGTGTTACAAAACTTCACTCATTATCACTTTCAAAAGTAGCTGCCACTTTGGTTAATTTTTTGGGTAGTACAAATGTTATTTGTTGTGTAGTGACTTCAGAGATAGGAAAAAGAACCAAGGGGCTTGGTGGTTTTCAAGAATATTCTCTTTCGCCTGATGTTACGTTAGGTCTATAACACCACATACTGCTGAAGGGGGAGGAACATAACCAAAATAGAAGCTAATAATGTGTTCTTGTTCAGTATGTATAGCTCTTTGTGTAGGCCTTTCTACACTTGACAACTTCGTTGTTCTCTTACTGCAAAACATGTGGACAATACATGGTAAAGAAAGCAGAATTTGATGTTTTTATTCATCATCTCTTGACAGAAGATGTTATGAAAGCCTTATTAAAAAGCATTTCGACTCTGTTGCACGCTTGACAGAATGAGACCTCAGATCTGTACCTAACCACTGTTGTTCTAACAGAGGTTTTCTTAATGTCTGGGAATAGAGATTTGCTCTAACTGTTTTATTTAGTAAATATGCTCAAACACAGTGTACAGTCTTTGTATTCAACTAGCTGTTCCAATGCATCACCCTGCTTGTAGATAAATACCATGTTTTGCCCTTCCATCACCATTATGTTTAGAAAACTTCCTGAATCTTGAGGGGGCAATCACCTTGAAGGTCAAAAATTCTACATTATTCATGATATCAAAATGATTTTCCAAGATTAATACTCTTATTTTCTGTATTCTGAACATTTTTTTAGTAGTCTGGATTGGAGTGAAGAGTCTTTGTCTAAAAAAGTCATTGTTACCAATTTATTTTAACTGAGGATGGAATTTTCCTCTTTATATTCATGTAGCTCTTAGCACAATCATTCTGTGATTTTTTTTTTTTTTTCTACAGTCATCTGTAAATATTTTCACTGGGTCTGGCTGGGATGGAGTTAATTTTCTTTATAGAAGCTCTTATGGTACAACTTTTTGCATTTGTGACCAAAAGAGTGTTGATAACACTGCAGTATTTTGTCTGTTGCTGAACAGTGTGTGCACAGTTTCAGGGCATTCTCTCTTTCTTGCTCTGCTCCTCCTACACACATGTGACTGTGTTGGGGATGCAGCAGAATTTGAGAGAACACCAGACCAAAAGAGTGTTGATAACACTGCAGTATTTTGTCTGTTGCTGAACAGTGTGTGCACAGTTTCAGGGCATTCTCTCTTTTTGCTCTGCTCCTCCTACACACATGTGACTGTGTTGGGGATGCAGCAGAATTTGAGAGAACACCACCAGGACAGCTGGTCCAAACTGACCAAAGGCATATTCCATGCCGTATAATGACATGCTCAGCCACAAAAACTGAGGGATGGGACTTGGGGGAAGGAAAACCCCTGCTGAAAGACTGGCTGGCCATGGGTCTGCTTGTGGGGGTTGGTGAGGGATTGCCTTTGCATCACTTGTTTTATTTCTTCTTTCGTCTTCCTCTTCCCTTCGCTACTTAAGCTCTCTTTAGCTTGACCCATGAATTCTCTTGCTTTTGTTCTTCCTCTTCTCTCTATCTCGGTGGAGGAGGGGTGAGTGAGTGAGCATCTGTGTGGTACTTAATGGCCATCCAGGGCACCACGGTCTTATAGAAAGTAATGTTGATAACACTTAAATTTGAATGGAAGGCTGCAGTAACAAATCAAAAGGAAAAATGGCATTTGAAAGATTTGCACAATCTTTGCACCTGTAAAGATTGTCTGCAATGAATAAAAGTATGTCCAATTTTATGCAAGTAATGGGAGTCTGAGGAGAACTGTCATGTTCTGCAGAATGTCAGGTGTTTCTCTAAAAGTCACAGACTTGAGGAATCATACTTACCATCTCGGAAGATATGACAAAATGTGATGCTTTAAGAATATTTTGGGTTATTTCCATTTTAACTTATTTTTAATAGGAAGTAGCACGTAAAGATAATTTAGTAATTGATTACTAATACAGTTTTTATTTGAATAACATATTTGAAAGTAGTTCTGAAATTTTTCCTGTAACCTGAGTGAAGGTAGGGTAATTCTTGTGCTTGCATTGCTGTATCAGTTGAGTGTGGAAAAGTGTAATCTCTGTGTGATGTCATAGGCTCAGCAGAACACCCAGGTCAGTGAATTTGATTTTACTGAGGTAGTTTGTTTTCCCTTGATGAAAGGTTAGTAAGTTAGCAGAAAATGAGCTACACTGGCATATCTTCATCTACCACTAAGAACACTTAACTGATGTAGTATACGAGTGCTTTTTTGGCATGGATCTTGCTGTTCATTTGTGTGTCTCTTCCTGAGTTCTCCCTCCCTTTTAATATCCTGGTCCCCCTTCTGGACCCCTCCAGACTGCAGAGCACATTGGCTCAAATGAAAAGTCTAAAAATATAGTACGCGTAAGCAGAAGAGGACTGATTTCACTACTTTGAGGAGAAAGCAAAGCAGTCAAAAGATCGCATGGGAAGGAAGAATAAGGAAGTAAATTGAAAAGAAGGAAGGAAAAACAATGTTAGGAAGCCTTGAGAAATGAAGAAGGCATGAGATGATAAACAGTGGGACTCTGAGAAGAGAGAGCATTAGGAGCCTTAGGAGTCATTACTGCAGTGTCTGATGCCTTGAACAGGCTAATGGCCAATGGCCTGTGACTCCTAGAATGGACAGAGTGCAGGTGCTGGTACTGAAATGAGCACACAAGTCTTGGGTAGAAATTTACCATTCTCAGTGGTATGTAGTCCTGAAGAGTGAGTTGAGTGGGAAGGATAAAAGGATGCACACCTGAAACTGGAAAGAATACTGTTGGAATACACTTGCTACATTACAGTCGGTTCAGGGCACTGCCCTGGCAGAATTGCCAGCTAACAGACTGAGATGAAGTGTGCCCAACTGGGGAGGATGAGTGGTTGGCTCCATCCAGTTGGGAACTCTTCTAGATGTCAGGGTGCTGACCACATGCATACATGAAGGAAGCATACATCCAGCCCCACGTCTTCCTTGCTTGAAGTCAGCACCTCAGGTTGCAAACACTTGGCCATGGGCAAGTGCTAAAAGAGGGAGGGTGGTGGTGTTTTCGGAGAAAACGAGGGTTGTTCCTGATTTATGGGTTGATGTTTGTAGGTGAAGTAAATAAATAAATGCTGAAGTGCTTAAAGAAGGAAAAAGTCGGAACTGATGGGAGTAGTAATTCAGGAACCACTCAGATACTTCACAAAGAAGCTATAGCTAATTTGTTTAGGAAATTGAGATCAAGGAGAAACAATCTGTATGCTTGTATACTATGTTAAGTATCCAGGGCAACATAATGGAGGATTTACTGATACGTGACAGGAAATGGTATGTTTCAGAGAGAACAGCAATGCCATAGAAACATATTCATGTTTGAAAGATGCATGTAGTTAAGGAGAGAAGAATTAAGGTGAAATTGATGATGTTGGATTAAACATCAGTGATGCTGTGGTGAACTGGAAAAAAAATAATTTTGGATAAGATATGGCTGGATCTGACTTACAGTCACATTGGAGAAACACTGAGAAAATAATTCTTCTCAATTAACTTTAGATTATTGCCATGGGCACCCAGAGTCAGAGTTGGGTATGGTCAGAGATTGTTTTTTCATATGTGGGACTAATATCTTTATGTAATTTGAAGATATGCTATGTAGATAGAAAATAAACCTGCTACTCTAAGAAATAGTGATAAATGCTATCTTGATCTGTTTGTTAAATACCCTCCTTTTCTTTTAACATATATTTATGTTTTAGTCACGAAGCGTGGACAAGCAACATGCTGTACTTAACTATGATGCCTCTACAGATGAACACTTGGTGAAGGATTTGGGCAGCTTGAACGGGGTAAGTTAACATCAGAAATGGATAACTCTCCATAGTCTTTTGCATGTTTGTTTGTGGGTTTTTTGAGCAAGATGAGTACGACTTAACAAGTGTACATTAATATCTTTATTTAATGCAAGATTGGAAAAGGAGGGAATATTCGAAAGGAAAATGTAGCTTTTGCAAGATTTTCCACTGCACATTATTTAAAGGGCTGCAGTAAATTATCCTAATATGAAGGCCTTTGCAGTAGAAAAACCTCAAAAAAGTGAAGAGGAATCTGTTGCTTTTCTGTATTTCAGAAATTTAGGAAAACAAAAATAATCTTGAATCTGTTGTAAAAAAAAAAAAAGAAAAAGCATTTGGGGCTATAAAATATCTGACTGAGAAATGGCTTTTTATTTCATGTGCTATTCTTTTTTTCTCCTTTTTCATACAGAAAAGAATGTTAAACTGTAATTCATATGTAAAAAAAAATATGCAATAACCACATTGTATGCAAAACTATTTAACTTACTTAAATTTAGTTTTTCAGTATCCTTTCTGTCAAAACGTCTGTGAACAGCGTGTAAATGTCAAGTTAATACAAACTGATACAGGAAGAATGTAAAGTTTTGAGCAAAATTTTCATATGTTATTTTAAGTTTTAAGGCTTTTGTAGGGATTAGATATACAATATTCTAGGTAAGCTTCACTTTTATAAACGTTTTGAATATTGTAGTAGAATATTCAAAACTTAGTGACTTTGTCATAATTTTGTAGACCTTTAGATACTTCTTCATGAACTGTTGATACACAGCGGGGTTTGTTGTTATTTTATACTACTTCAAGTGTTTGGCTGTGTCATGAGTAGGTACAGAGTAAAATTGTGAGTTGATCGGTGATAGCTATTCATTACCAGTAGCTTTCTAAATACTCATGCAAATAAGCACTGTCAAACACTTAAAAAAAAAAAAAAATAGAAGCTGAAGAAGAAATCTCAAGTTTTTGCTTGTTAGCATTGATTTAGGTTTTGGTGTTTGATCTTGAAGTGCATTTCAGAATAAAAAGCCTATTAGTTGGGTTTTGTTAGCTTTTATGTATTTTAAGGTCGCTAACTCACCCTCACGGAGTCAGTCTCAACTCTGTATGAAACCAGTGTAACCTGAAGGGTGATTTCCTTTGAACAGTTGCAGACACGACTGTGTTTTGAAACTCAGTGCACGGTTTCAAGGCAGTGATCAGAAACACATAGTAATTTTTTGCTGAGCCACTTGATTTTATTCCCTAATTCTCTTATTCCTTTAGTCAATAGGCATAGCTTCAGATTCTCCTTGCCTTGTCACGAAACTTGAATTTAACAAAAATGTATGTTAAAAGGCTTTCCTTCGACTCCTTCCTTTAGCTCTGAAAAAGAGCTTTCAGTTATTCGTGTCGCTTGATCTGGTTCATTCTCAAGTTTGAACTGTCAGTTGCTCTATAGCTGTTTACCCAGAGACATCAAAGGAACTCTTTCTTCCCACGGTTTTGGGACAGGGAATATTAAGCCTTAGGAGTTCAGTCCTTGCTCTTTGCCTTCTCAGTGCTTCCCTTGTTATTTCTTCAACTGACCTTTTTTTGAACTGTCCTTTTCTTACATACCTCTTACCTACCTGGTTTCATGTTGAAAGAGGAAACCATAATTTTCTAACACCATATTTAATCCAAATTGTGTGACAGAACAGTATACACATTGCTTCTGCACCATGCGGTGAACTACTAAATAGGCACTAATTCTTTGGGTCTAGCTATATTTTCACTGAGAACACCAACTCCCTAACAGCCAAGTCCCTCTTTTCGTGCTTCATCAGCTTCTAACAATTCTTATTTTGCTTGCTTCATCAAGTGCAAACATTTATTTTGGGTCTCCCTAATTATTCCCATTTCTTTGAAGAATAGGTGTGTACTTTTCCTAGTGTACAGGACTGCTCTATTCCTGATATAATGCACTTTAACCACTCGAGAATTCAGATTTCAAGGGGAGATGGCTAATACCAATACATAGGGCTTTTCTTTTGAGTTTTATGAGTCCCAAATACTTCCATGCGGTGAACTGATTACACCTGTAAACTTTAATCAGATTTACACAATGTGAAAGTTTTATTTCCACAATAAAGGTTTATTTCCATTTTGTTTCCATCATGACTCCTCCTGGTCCTTCTTGCTTACCTTTTATTTTATACCACAAAAAAAAAGTAATATTAAGGAATTTATCTTTTCTGAAGAAAATGTGTGCAGTTGCTAAGATATAATTTATATTTTCACCAATATTAACAGGGTTCAGCTTTTTTTCTCTTTGACTTTTGACCTCAAAAACATAACAGAAAAATTATCAAGCATCCATGGCCGTGTTGAATTACAGTCTTCTCAGGGATAATTACAGGATAATGAAGACCTTTCCCACTGGTATTTTAGGACTGGATTGTGAAATGCTCAGCAAACTTTGTGATGGCTTAAAGAGAGTTGGCTTTCACTATTTAAAGAATAAAGCTTTGGAAATCATATGAATATATAAAAATGCGTATAGAATGATTTAAAGGGAGAAACGGATTCCTTATTTCCATAGTAACTAGCTTTTTCAAGCTAGCTTTGCCTTGCATCCCAAGGCTTCGTTGCTGGATGTCTGCAGACTGCACACACTGTCTTCAGAGATCTCTGGCTGAGGGTATAGTCTGTGCACATGAATTGCAGAACTCTGACCTGGGAGGAAAAATGCATATACACATACATTCATGTCCTCAAGGCAGCCTAAATTTTGGTGAGTCACTAAAATTGTGTCTGCCTTGAGGATATTCTTCGTTTTCTGTCTGGACTCTAACAATGTTAAAGTGGAATAAATATGCATTAAACACCACCCATAGTTTCGTACCTCCAAGACAGTAAATAGTGGGGCCTTTAATTCTTGTTTCTCATGGAAGATATTTTCTATGATGTAGGTAACTAATCTTGTAAATAATTAAATAAACATTATTTTCATTAGGAAAAGAAACTAAAATGGAAGATCCCTTTACAATTTTGGGGAAGGGCATTGTTTCTGTCTTGCTAGCCTTCATCTTCTTCAGTAATAGAGTTATGTGAGCAATACAAGCGTTCAAAGATTCAGATTCTTGGAGTACTTAATTATTCAAGATTTTGTGTGTGTGTGTGTGTATTTCCCTAACTTCAAAGTGCTTCAGAAATGGCAGATTCAGCTGCTGCATTCCTCAGAAACATGTACACGTTCTTGTAGAATTCTTAAGTTTTAAGTAGGAAGATCCTGTGGGGTTGCGATATTTTGAGTCCCCAAAACTGGCACAAACCAAGAGTAGCTGTCTTCCAGAAAGACTCCCTGGGTATTTTATCTCCGATCTGTAATGTTAATGTGTAGTTGTTATGAAAAGTAAAAATGAGCAAGAAGCTGTAACTTCTTTAAGGTGTGGGAAACTGTATAACTGATAAATAATTCATAAAATAATGCAACAGTCTCATACCAGCAACACCATAAATTTTTTATTTGCCTTGAATTTGCCCTAAATTAAGGCTTCACTTTGGATTTTAAAAGAAGATGAAGGAAGTAACACCAAGGAACAAGAGACTGATCACATATAGCTGATTATTTGTGTTTCTTAGAAGGGAGATGCTAAATTTCTATAACTTCAGACTTTGCATTCTTTGAAAAGAAGGTAAAAGGAGAGGAAAGATTTCAAGAAGGCCAGGGTTGAACTTAGGACAGAGGAACTTACAGTGTAAATTGTAGCTTCTTAATGCAGATTTGAATTGGGCCTTGAGAAATAGTTTAAGGCAAGATGCTGTGCAGAAGTTTTGTCGGATCACAGCGGACAGATTCTTAAGGGATCTGTAACTCTGAAAGTGTCTTAAATATTATGCAGGGTGGAATTTACTGTTTTTCTTTTGTAGCCTGATCTCTACTTTTTGTAATTGAGAGGTTAATATTCTCTTCTGCTAAACAAAACATATCTTTGCCCTTTTATATTTCTCTATCACTGAGTGAATTCAGAAGATACTGACCCAATACAGAGTTCTGCTGAAGGTAACAAAATTATTTTCATGGTTAGAGATTCAGACTAATTTGGAGAGTTTGAAGAGCAGTGGTATGTCTTGGGATGAGCAGAAGGATCCGTTTGAGAGCGAGGTGTCAGGTTCTGAAAGTCTCTACCTGAAGGTTTAAACATCCCCGCCAGTGGCAAAAGAGCAAGCTGTGAGGAGAACACGGATCCTGACGCCCACTCATACCTTAGCGTGTTAACATCCTTGGTTTCCAGTATCTGAAGTCACCATGTGCAACTTCAAGTCTTAACTGCTGCTCATAACGTGGGGAGTTTGCTTGGCTCTGACAGCCTACCTTCTGAAGACTGAAAATCAATCTTTACAGGTGCATATCAGTTCCAATGAAGGAATAAACTTCCCCGCTCCTTCTTTCTCCTGGTTCTTACAGGGGCTTATGTCTGTTCTAGAATTTTATGTAGGTGACTTTCTAGAATTTTCTTTAAGGCTTGAATAATCTAGATTGAATAATTAGATTGAGTAATCTAACTTTAAGACCTATTTAAGTTCTTTTAATTTTTTTCCACGGAGTTGAAATTGTATCCCAGCTCTTCAACTTTACAGCTCTGAGATCTGTTTTGTATTAAACATGTATTGTTCTTCCTCCTTGCTGATGCTGTAGTTAGTCATTGTATATATCTCACATGTTCTCTTGAAATTTATACCAGCATGTCTTTGAAAATTCCTTGTTATTTTTTGCTGTTAGGTTTAATACAGACCTTCAAATTGGAGTGATTGGTAATCTGTACTATCTTTAACAGCCAACTGATATGGCTGATGAAATTGGGCAACCTTTCAGATACATGAATCCTTCTTTAAATCACTGAAAGCTGGTCTGATTTCTCCAACTATGTTTCCATCAGTGATTTCAAGGAGGAGAGGATTACTTGATGTACAATGACTGAAGTTTCAAAAGGTTTTGTCAAGCCTATGGAATTTGCTCTGCTTTGCTTCTAGCTAGTATAATAATGCTATTTCTATTTACAAATGTTGTTATACCTACTCTTCCAAGAGTCACAATATATTGAATTTTTTATCGCTGCTATTTGGAGTTACTCAGATGCACTAACTTGGTCCATTTTTCCTTTATGTTCTTTGACAATATTTAGAAATTATAAGCTACCTCAGAATGTACAAATGTCATGATAAATCAGTTCTAATAGCTAATTTGGATCAAAAAAACAAACTACAAGAAAAATAATGACCCTAGATGCTGATTTGAGGGAACATTAATCAACAGTTCAGTAAACACTGCTAACAAGATCAAATTTGTAAGAAACTTTTCAAGGCCAGTCTGATGTCAGCAGCCTGGTTAGCGACCGGTGTTTAACCTTTCTTTTGAAATATTTTATGAAGCAGGTGGCAATTTGATCTAATAGTTTAATTCCCCAGTGAGTCACCAGTAGAAAATTTCAGTGATGTTGAAAACTTTATTTTAAAATTAATGTTTATCAATTTATTATTTTGCAATTTAATAGTATCTCTTTCTGTCCTCATTTATTTCTGTAGACATTTGTGAATGATGTGAGGATTCCAGAACAGACATACATCACTCTGAAGTTGGAAGACAAATTGAGATTTGGATATGATATCCTTGTCATAAGAATGTACAGTGTCGGGACACACTTTCCGTGTTAAAAGTATGATTGTGTTAAATGAAGGGTTCTCAAACTATTTGAGGAACAACTTTGAAATATTTATTTTACTTGTTACTACAAAAATGTCTGTATAAGAGAAAATGGCAGGTTTTAAAAATGTGTACCTTGGTCAGAACTATTGATAAAGTGCACTTCATTATTTCTCACTGCAAGAAACCTCAACTTACAATTACTTTTTAAAACCTAGTGTGTAACTTCTGTGTTGCAAAGACACATTACTTTTCTTTGAGGCAAATACAAAAGTATTTGTGCCATATGAGATTGTATGCAAGTAGAAAAGATTGCAAGTAATTATTCAGCAAGCTACCAAATTTTAAAAAAAGAGAGAACTGATATTACAACATTAAGGTATCTACTCAGTGTTCTATTTACAAATAGTAAATAGTTCTGTGGTTCATTTGCTTTGATGAGTATGACTGTAGATGCGAGTCCTAAAGGTGACATATTTGTCCAAGTGTCACCATTCCAGTGCCAGAATAGGCTACGCAACTGTTGCTTTTCTGTAAAATCTTCTTGTGAATCAAGAAATGTTTCCAGTGTTTTCTTTAGCATTTCCTACATACTAATCTTTTTACTGTGGTCAGGGGGGAGATGAGAGTCCCTGAAGAAGCACTTAAGGTAATGTGTAGTTCCTACATGTCCTTCTGTCATTGTGTAGATATTGGTAACATAGGACTGGTTTTACACTCTTTGAGGGTGGTTTTTTTCTATTTAATGTCATATAGCATGAAAAATTCACAAGCCAACTCCAGTTGTCCCAAAAACCTTCAGAAGCAGAAGGATCGAAGCAAACCAGCTCCAAAAGCACAGAGCCCAAGGTAACAGACTCCACAGCTGAAGTGCACCACAAAACTACAGAAGCACTGAAATCTGAAGAGAAATCAATGGGTAAGGCTTATTTTTGCTGCAGAAGGACATAAACTGGAAAGGACATTCATTTGCCATGATAGGATGCTTGTGAATTTCTGTACACAGTAAAAGCTCCACATACATGAAATCTGAAACATACTTCAAGTGTTAAGTAATAACTTTGGGAATTGAATTTCTGCCTTTTTTTTTTTTTTTAGCCTAGCATCCACATGTTAAAAAAACTCATAGAGGGACATTTAGTCAGCATTTATTAGATTTTTGCATTTCCTGCCACAAAAGCTGAAAGTTTGTGATTTTGGAAAAGACAAAGTGCTATTTTTTTGGCAGTTTAACTGAAAACATTTTTTCAGGAAGAGCTTGTACTTCTTCCTGTCACCTTTGTCAAGTGCTCTGTTTTTTAACTTTTTAAATGGGTGGTGGTTTAGTTTGTTTGTTTTATAGATATTAGCATTCATTGTTGGATGCATCAGGAGAGAATCTAAGTGTTCTATTGCAGTGTAAAAAGAAAAATTGTAAAAACTAGCTTCAGTCTTGTTTCTACCTCATGGTTCATATTTACGTCGTGTGACATGGTGGCTCTGCTGCGGGTATCTTGAGTGTGAGGCTTGCTAAGGTACATTGTTCTTCTTATAGCTACTTGCTGTAATACCCGTTACTATAGCAGATAATTACAAGAATGAGGAAGGAATCAGGTATTGCTGCTTCCTTAATATGGAACTGACCAGGGCTGAGTCCTTAGGTCAAGGCTGTATGGTTTTATTTAGGTTTAATCCATTCCTCTGGACCACACACTTCAAAGAATTCTGTTCCCCACATACAGGATTTTGTTGTAGAACTACTTAACCTGTTTGTTCTGTTGGCTGATCTAGCATCCTCCTGAGGGTACATAAAGCCTATCCAGTACTTCAATCTTCCTACTCAATATGGCTTTCCAGTATTCAGGTCCTCTTACATTTTCATTAAATAGCCCAGTAGGGTTTCATATCCTCACCTTGCATTTTTTTCTTCACTCTCCAAGAAAGAGCAGTCAGAGTTAATGATGGGGATTTATATTTGAGTGCAATTCTCAAGAAACTTTTGGGGGATTGATTCTGTCATGGTTCCTGTATGTATGCATACCTGTTTACTCTTCCTAATTCAGGGCACAAGCATCAGCCGTCAAGTTTTTTAAAACAAATTCAATATTGACTAAAGTGTGATCCTGTTAAGAAAAAAAAAAGAAATTCTGTCGTCAAATCATATTGAAACTTCTGACTTCTGGCATGGCTGTGAAGTTACATAGCATCTTTGGAATGGTAGTGAATAAAGCATTGAAAAAAATGTAGAAAAACATGATACAAAAAGTAACAGAGGCTACTAAGCTGGTTTTGAACAGATGTTATTTTATATAAAAACTGCTTAAAGTCTCTTCAGAACATCTGTATGATACTAGAATAGCTAAATCTCAGTAGGGTGAAGTATCAGGTCACAACTAATTCAGTCAATTTATCATCAAGGTCAGTAGGGTTTTTTCTTATTTAATCTTTATGCATAAATGTGTTTAAACACGTGTATGAGTCCTGTATAAGAAACAGCACTTATAATTTTACTGTAATTTAACTATTGCCTTTTTAAAAAATAAAATAAGATGGTTGTGCTCAGTAATGTCTCACACAAGGTAACTTTCAGCACTCTGCTGTCAGCAATTTGGAAACTTGGCAACATTGCAAAATTTGATCAGTTTTTCATGCACTGAGTTCAGATTTCATTGAAAGGTCACTGTGGGTAAAAGTGAGAATCTTCACACAGAAATAGCAGTGGACAGCTTTTAGGAATGTACTGCTGTGCTGGAGACTTCAGACTGAAAGGAGAAAATAATGTTTACAGATATATCAGGGTAACAATAAGAGATGTCAGCTGCCTTTGCATAACCGTTTGTGCCAAAAGTTTGGATCAGGCCATTAGTAAGCTTTTATATTTAGAACCCAGATCAGTTATCCAGCCTCCAAGTTTGTTTTGTATTTAGGCAAATGCATGCAACCAAATCACTTCAGCTTCCAGGAGAAACAGTCCAAGCAATTGACTCTTTCTCTTCATGTTAGTTTAACCTAAATATCACAACTAAACAGAAAAGTAATTTCCTCTGCTTTGGGCTGATTTTATAGACCTTTCTGCCATGCCTCGTGGGACACCTTTGTATGGACAGCCAGCCTGGTGGGGTGATGAGGAGGCTGATGAAAAAAGTGGTTGTAAGCCAGAGAACAAGCATGAGGAAAAAATGCATGAGACAGGGGCTTCAGGTAAGTCTGTTGTCTTATTTTTGTGCATTTTTTTTTTGCTCTTTACTTAAGTATATATGTTCTTAGGAACTAAACAGCTACTCCTAAAGAGTTTCATAGACAGTTTGCATAAATGAAAACCTATTAAAATTAAGTTAGTTTAAAAAATATATTCTCTGAGAAACTATTAATTTCTAGCAACCATTTTCACATATAAAGTCTGTTTTCTGGTGTATAATACCATTTGTTATTACTAAATATATAAAATACTGTTACCTGAATCAGTGGGTCCCATTTATCAATTTAATCCATATCTGTCATTTTATATTCTGAAAATTAGAGATTGTGTAGGGATACTTTATCAAAATTATTTCTAAAAATAGATGGTGCTATTTTAATTGTGTATTCGGCTTATAACTGTATAAGGTGATCTATGCTAACATTCTTTCCTGTAAATCCATAATGCTGCTTCAGTGTTTGCAGTAGAGATTTCATAATCTAAACTGGTAATTTTTATTTCCCCATAATACAGATACTTTTTTTCGGTTAGCTTGTTTATACACAGTATGCTTTGTCAAAACTTAAATTTCAGTGTCTATAATTAGGCTTCAAAATCTATCATCAGGCATATAAGTAAAGTGACTGATATACTAATTAAGAGAATAACCTTAAAACTTAGTCAAGTTAGGACAAGTTAGACACTGCTGGGGAAAAAAACCAAAACTTGACATTTTTGCAAAACAATTTGATTTGGGAGGATATGGAACTAAAATCCCATGTAAAAAAATTATTTATTTATCTTGGTCATTTAATCTCAACGTAGACGTTAGTTGTATGTTTTACAAGTCTGGTTTTGACTTTGTAGATGTTTTTTAGTAGTGTTGGCAGAGATCCTGCAAAGGCAGACCAGCTACAAGTTGACATGTGCCTCTCTGAACACTTCTCCTCAGTCTCAGAACTGTCTGTGTAGAAGTGGGCAAAAAAATATCCTGATATTTTTATACAATTATAAAATAAACATATGCTTTTGGAGCCCCTTTGGCCTACAGTTAAATTCCATGAAAACATTAATTATCAACAAATTAGTATGTGTTTTCTTCATGCACTTAAGTTTTATAACATAGAATAATACAATAATTAGAAAGCAATATAAACAAACACTGATGAAAGGAAATTGGAAACTTCATGTGACTGTCATGTTTGGATGATTTTTTTTTTTTAAATAAAACATAACTTCAGTAAAAAACATTCAACATTGATGCAGTTATTAGTTCTTTCATGGGCTAAATTGTAGCGAGTATTTAAAACACCAGTTTGGAACACTGTTCTTAATATAAACTGTCTCAATGTAGGTACATTACAAGTAAATTCACGCATCTGAGTTCCTAAACCTTTTATTCAGTAACTCAAATTGATAAAGCCTGATATAATTTCAACAAATTATTCCTTTGAAGAATCTGATTCGTGCTTTCTGTCACTCGATAGAAAAGAAGGCATGAATTATAACAGATGGGGCAAGGTTTAATGAGGAGATTGAAATGAGTGATTTGTTTTTGCTAAGCCAACTATGGGCAATTAGTCTTTACAGTCTCAAGTTAATAAGATTATTTCAGTGTTACTGCCTTTCTATCACAATGGAAACCCACTAAGGGAAATTATTTTCAAACACAGCAGAATAAGACAAGATAGACGTTAATTTTAAAAAAAGTCTCTAGGAATCTCAAGTGGTTTTTTTCCATTTGGCATGAAGTATTTTTTCGATTTCAGCATTGCATAACAATATATCAGATAAAATGGTCCTTACGTCTAAGAAACAGTGTCATTTTAATGGAAAGGAGGTTGACTGTTATTTTAGAAATCTTCTACACATGCTGATTACATTGAAATCACACACACGTTTAATCACTCGTATTTACACCAAAGTTCCTATATATTTGTTCTAGAATTTTGCTGGGTTTGGCTAGGATACGTGCAAGTGCTGCATATGTAAGGTGTGCTTCACAAACCTATACCAGCAAACGCGCATGCTATGTCACGGGGAGCTTATAGAACTTTCTAGAGCCATCATAGCGATGTATTTAAATAAGATTAGTTTTGCCTTTTTTTTTTTTTTTTACTTCAACTCTTCTAAAGTATGCAGTTAAATGATTTATTATGAGATGTGGTGATTTCTATACAATATAATGTTATTTAGAGAGCAGTTTTGTTATTATTTTGTAAGACAACATTATGACAGCATTAAAAGACAAAGATCTTACTTAATACTAGGTGAATCACTGCTTGTTACACAATCTTGTCTTTAAGTAACAAATGAAAAATACTTCAGACATAAAACAAAAAGACAAAACGAACAAAAAAAAAGTAAAAGGTAAGTAGGAAATAAAAAATGGTAATATGGGGAGTAGAAAGGAAAAAGTGGTTAAACATTTGAAAGCACTGATGTCCAGTTTTTTTTCATTAAACATGTCATATCATAGTACCAAATAGAAAGCTAACATAAAATAAATATTTTGAGGTATTGTGTAAATATGATATTTTGTCTGTTTCTTGTACTTTAAATAAATATTTTGCGCCAGGTTTACAGACGCTTTTTCAAGAAGTGCTTTGGAAATTCGAAATAATTTTCTTTTACAAGTTTTATTCTCAAAATTGTATTTTTAAGGCAGAAAAAAACCTAAAAATCTGAAGACTGCAAAATATTTTCTGAGGTTTCATCCTATCTTTGCAGATGATAATAAATTTCTATACATGTGCGATTTCTGACATATCTGATAGATTGTGTTGAATAATACAGAATATCTGACACTTCTGTCCAGGTTGGCAAGTAAAATTTTAAGATTGTGACTATGTCTGTGTAACAAATTAAGTAATAAAACTTTTTAAAAATCCCAAAGGTCCTGGAAAGAGTAACCAATTCTGCTCATGTCACAAAGCGAATGTTGCTTTTCTGATGATAATCTCTGAGATTGTTCTAGTAAAGAATCCCCCTCAACCTCTGTGTGGTTAAGACTATGATTTTCCAAATATTCCATAGTGTCCCCCTTAGCCTCTCCTAGACTCATTGTTTCATTAATGGTCTCACTACATCTGTGTACCAGCTACAGTTACTGCTTCCTTACTTGCCCTGTAGAAGCTCTTGCACAGTTGTGTAGCTCTAGACCTTTGTAGGATGAGAGCTCCTTCTTTACAAGATACCCTGGTTGTCTTTCTGCCCCTTTCCTTTCACTCTTGCCAGTTCAGAAATCTCTTGAGTTCCTGGAGAGTTCAATTCCTGGAGTTCACAACCCGTCCATCCCCTCGTTTTCCCAAAGCATACTTACAGTTCCACACAGTTGCATATTTGTTGTACAAACACTGTGCTTGTTCTGTTTAAAAATCCTAGAGCTGTGCTGACCACTGTCTTCAATATTTGCTTGAGGGTTTTCTATTAAAGCTATCTGTGGTTAGTCTGATGCATAATTTCCTTCATCTTGGCAGATGGCTTTTTATAATAGGATTTCAAAGGTAAGGCTATTTTATAGATCACTCTTCGTAATATTTAGAAAGGACTGTAAGGACTTGCATTTAGAATTTGGGTGAAACAAAGGGTGGTTCAGATCAGGATCTATATTAATTTTTTGTTTCCTCATTGATTTCAATTCCATATTCTAATCAATTCTGATGTATTTAACTCTTTTAAAAATGCAAGTGCTACAGACTGAAAATAGGATTTGTAAGTAATTAAATTTAACTTGTACCTCAGATGCTTTTAATTATATAATTTCTAAGAATTTTTCTAGTTTGGAAAAAATTGCAGTTTAGTTTTAGATCAGTTTCTTGTTTTGATTAAACTTGTCATAATTTCAGTTCAAATGATACAGCATCTGTTTAATCAAAAATATTAGAATCAAATACCGTGTATATCATTGTAGTATAAACAGTTGATTTCAGATGTTAAATTTGGTGCAGGCAAGTTTCATAGTGAAATTTTTATGAAATTGTCCATCAATTCTGACAAACCAGTGTTATTGATCCCCTCATCCTCATGCTGCCATGCATCTGATGCAGTTTGGCTGCAATTTTGTAATTTTCAAAATGTTGTGATGAACCAGTTATTTCATATTTACTGAAAAATACTCTTTATTGTGTGGCTAGTTGATTGCTCTTGCCTGACCCAAAAGTAGAAATTTTTCTTGAAACACACTGTATTAGCCAGTTATCTTTTGAAGGAGTATTGTACACCATATCTTGCTTAATTATTGGTTACAGGAATCGGAGGCTTGAAGGTCTGAATAGAACCATAGGGAAAAAAATAACGAACATATGAACTGACTCTCCTGTTTGGTGAGAGTGTTGCATACTGTCAGGATCCTAGCTCTTGATTTGGTCCTAGGAGAGCTTGATCCATTGCAGCTTGTTAGCTGGATGAAACAGAGTGGTGGTAGTTTAACTAAAATCTGGGAGCTGCAAAGTGTGACTTCTGTGTATTTCTATATGTCTTCTATCTAAACATAAAAGCTTTTTAATGACAGCTGACAGAGTGCAGTGAAAAGCATTAGCTGGGGTATTCTTGGAATACAACAGCACAGTATAAAAGCTGTTTGAATTCTGAACATCTTTTGTGTTTGCAACAGCTACTTTTAGAGAAAATAAATTAAAGCAGCTGTGCTAATTGCATCAGTGAGATTTTATCCTGTTGGTATCCAAGCATAGTAATAAGGAATGTGTACTGTTTTTGTTATCACTTCATAATATCATTCTTTGCTTAACTTTTCCAGCTATTATGCTGTCCTTTAATTAGCTCAATTTCTCTGTATCATATTACCATCTCTCTATTTTTCAGTTTTTAACCTTTTCCTAAATCTTCACAAGAAGCATGCGTTTGTGATGAGCAGCATAGGCACATTGTGCTGTCCTGCACCCTTTACCCCTTAAACCCCTGACTCCAGTATAAATGTTTCTGTCTCTACCTTAGAGCATAGTAGGTTCATATGGAAATGTTAACTGTCTCAGCTGATGTAGTATGGCTGGTTTCAGCACCAGAAATCTATTAATTACATTCTTATTTCTTTACTTGGCAACCTAAAATGATTTCTTAAATATCTTAATGTGGTTCATGATAAATCACGTGGGAACTGTTCAGACTTCCTTTGCTGGAATATAACTTGCCATTGCTGCAAACATCTCGAGCATCTGTTCCTTATGGCACATCTCTACACCAGATATTTTGGCTAGATTACTAGTTAATGAAATGTAGCCAGAAGCTTTGTTTTCTTAAAGGCACATCGGTAGCTTTGCTGCAACCGCAAGAAGCTTTAGCCTTTGTTCAGGCTATACAGTGGGACTTTCAATTACTACCCTGTGCTTTCTCCACATTCTGCTTTCTTTACCCAGTTAGAGCATGTTTTGGTAACGTTCTGCATGCTTCCAGATACTGTTTCTTTTTCTTTTCATCTACAAATTATGGAAACAAGTAAAGCAAGAGCAGATGACAGTAGAATTTAGCTCAGTTCTTTGGTTTTATCCTTTGTGGAAACACAAAATGATTGAATTCCAAAACACTTTTCATTGCTTATCAGCATTAAACTTTTCAAGCCAGAATTCATGTTTATCTTGCATTAATGTATGAATTGCTTTTCCAAAGAATTGTACAAAACAAAACTATACCACCAATTGCAGGAATGAAAGCCAGATCACTACCATTTGTTTTGGGGGCACCTTGATTTGATGTTTTTCCGAGAGATTGGAACTGCAATAATGATCATCTCAACTATTACTCTAATGTGATTTGCTCAAATGTTTTCCATGTCCTAATAACTCATCTGACGTTTGCATCATCTAACAATTTTTGGAATGCAAATTTGCTTTGACAAATTCTAAGTGAGCTTTCTGCCACTTTAGACGCCTTGCAGCTAAACCACGTGCTGTCTTTTCAGTAATACTTTTTACGTGTAATTCTGGAATTATTTTTCCAGAAATACGTTGCTCAATCTGCTCCACAATCTTACTGTTTATTCCAGAAACTACTCAAGTGGCCTTTACAGGAGTTCAGAAACTTCTTGAAGAACCTGAAGTTCTCAAGTATTGTGAAATCTATTTTTTGTTTTTCTTAATAGGATGCAGTACAGAGGCCAAGCAAGCTGAGGAGCCACCTGCAGCTGCAAGTGAAGAACTTTATCCTTTCTGTAGGGAGCCAAGTTATTTTGAAATCCCTACAAAAGAATTCCAGCAACCTTCACAGGTAGCAGAAAGCACTATTTGTGAAATTCCAACAAAAGACACCCAAAGCTCCCATGCAGCAGGTGCAGGGCATGCTTCCTTTACCATTGAATTTGATGACAACACTCCAGGAAAAGTAACAATCAAAGATCACGTGACAAAATTCACATCGGACCAGCGTCACAAGTCAAAAAAGCCTTCTTCCTCCAGTGGTCAGGACCTGCCTGGGCTTCAGACGGTGATGATGGCCGCAGAGAGCAAAGTAGCAGATTGGCTAGCCCAGAACAATCCTCCTAGAATGATATGGGAACCAACAGAGGAGGATTCCAAAAGTATTAAGAGTGATGTTCCAGTGTACTTGAAGAGACTGAAAGGTAAAGTGAATCATTCCAGCTATGCTTATTTCTGAAAGCAGTGATTCCTCACCAGCATCCAGTGAGTGGATCCCTGAGCCCTTGCGGAGTTCAGTTGTAATCACAGATACTCTACATGTACACAAGGATCTGTGCAGGGACATTTTATTGCAGTATTAAGTCCTAAAAAGAGGATAGAAAACCAAATCCTAAATCAGCTTACAATAAGCATACTAATTGCAGATATTCTGGTACAGCTGAAAACCTCAGGTATTTAAAACATTGAACTTGAAAGGGAAAAGGAAAAAAACCCCAAATTTTAGTTGAATCTTTTTATATTTCACTTTTTCCTATGCATTACTTCAAAAAGCTGAATTGTCTTTTGGAATAAAGCTCTGAAGTTTAAATTATGCTTTTAGCAACTCTTTCAGTACAGCAAAGAATACATCCTATAGTTACTCTGCTTAAATCAGTCATGTATGACAGAGTCAGGTTTGAGTCGGGAATCTGAAATAGACCGAAAGATTCAATTTCTATACTAAGCTTGCAGAATATCATATTTATACGAATGTTGCTGTTCAAGGGAGTTCCATATAATTATACAGGTTCGTTTACTGCAGACAGTGACGCTTCAAATAAATTTAAATCAGATGTTAAGCATGGAAAGTGTACATTCTTTTGGATGCCAATTAGGAGACTAGGGAAGAAAGTAGTTTTGATGTTCAGATGAAGATTCCAGTGACATTCAAACTTGCAGAATGAAAACTTCTGAAGAACTTCTTCAGGTCTCTCTTATTTTCTGGTTTTGATTTCAGCAGGTTAACCCTGCCATTCCCGTTTTTCTCGATCTTGCAACATTATCATGTCTAACTATTAAACCAGCTGCAACTGGGTACAACGTGCTTTGTCTTACTGATCAGAAGTCTGCTTTTTAAGGCTGACTCTTCCAAATTAAGATTAAAAAATAAGATTTTGAAAACAGAATTACATCTCTATGCTAGCATTAAAATACTAGCATGTTTCTTCTAGGGTGTATTTCAGAGCATTCTTTGGTCTTCATGATACAGTATTACATTTATGAACATTCTTTTAAATATTAGCCATGTCACTTTGATAAATAGGAAGGGCACTGTTTACAAGGCCTTGGTGTTTTCCTGGCAGAAACTCCTCAAAGTTTGATAAATTTTCATCTGACATACGTATAAGTTATGGGGTGTCTATGGCCAATAATAAATAACTGAATTTTGTAATAGTCTATGATCTGTTTGTAGTCTCACTCATTACTTGTACTTTTTCAAATCATAAAGGTAGAGAATATACCTAGCTGCTTTGAAAGTTTGATTTAGGAAAAAAAAAAAAAGAAAATAATTTTTTGGTTTTCTCCTCAACTTTTTCTTCCAGTATTCTGTACTGAAGTCAAACTGCTAAAATTACAACTTTCACTGTGGTGTTGTTATACTTCCAAAGAATAAAATGTATGAACCATCGCATTATTTTCTTAAGCACTGTGCAAAGAAGTAGCAAACAGGAGTGCAAGTTGGGATTTCAGCTGTGTGTTTAGTGATACTAGTCTGATAAGTAAGGTTTCCCAATATGTGATTACTATTTTACTGCATAGTTGCTGCGTATCCTAACTGTGTAAGTTAGAAAACTTTAAAGCTATCCTCTTGAGAATTCAAGAAAATCAATAAATCTTATGTTCTGTGTATACATGAGTAAGACTTGATCCAACAGAGTTCAAAGAAGGTGGAACTGTTCCTTCCCAGGAGCTGAGCTAAAACTTAAGTGTAGACACATTCATTGTACATGAAGTTGCTCAGTGTTAAATGTGGTTTACTGTGTATGAGTGTCCAGCCTTCCATGCATTTTCAGGTGTTGTTACAAAGCATATTTATAGGCATATATATGATTTATTAAATATGTAATCCTTATTCGTAGATCTCAGGGTAGTTTGTGGAATTAATAAGTAATGACCACTATTTTATATGCATGCATCAGATCTGAAGGGAGTGAATGATGGGAAAACTCATTGTACTTCTTGGAAAGTGTAATAAAGAATTCATTCCAATTTTCAGTAGACATTTCTCATGATAAACTGTTGTAAATGTGTGAGGAATTCAGCAATAGGAACTGTGGCTCTCAGTGGGTATTTTCAGCTACCGGAATGACTGTTTTAGGGTTTTCTTTTTTCTCTTATCCCTACCTAGAATGTTTCAGTAGTCATTGGTGATCAGCTGGCTGTGTAACAAAATTAATATAATTGGGAAACGTGCTACAGTGCAGCTGGTAAAATACTGACTTTTGTAAGACATTGATAAATACTCACAGATGAGAATATTGGTGAAAAGGGCCATTCAAATGCACCACTGTTACTGATCAGTTATAAAGTGTTTCATCGTTTGACTCCCAGCAAGTTGAATGCATTAGAAAGAGCTGTACAAAACTGCAGAGGCAGGTACTTAAAGCTGTTGGAGTCTGAACAGAAAACCAATTTGAAATTCCTTCTTCTGTATGTGTTGGGTTGGATTTTTTGTTTGTTTGTTTCATTGTGCTGTATATTCTTTTGCTTTGCTTGTAGGGAATAAGCATGATGATGGTACACAAAGTGATTCAGAAAATGCTGGTGCACACCGGCATTACAGTAAGCGGGCAGCACTTGAAGAACACGTAAGGCATCATCTTACAGAGCTGAAAAAGTCACATCAGAAAGTCCATTCCACAGAAAAGCAGCAAGAGCAAGCGGGTTTGAGTCAGACTGCCTTTATGATTGAGTTTTTTGATGAAGACCATCCTCGAAAGAGGCGTTCTTACTCTTTTTCTCAGAATGTAGGAGCGCTGTGCCCAGAATCTCCATCTCCAACGCCTCATGCGCGAGCTGAGAGAGTGAAACCTATGTCAGGAGAGAAAGCAGCCCCTTCGTCTGTGCAAGCTAGCTCATCGCATCACAGAGCAGTACATGGTGTTCATGCTAAACTTCTGAAACAAAGATCAGAAGAACCCTCTGCTCCATTACCTGTCTTACAAGCTGCCTTGTTAAGGAGTTCAGGAAGCCTCGGCCATAGACCTAATCAGAACCAGGAGATGGATAAAAAGTTGAAAAGCCAACATATTTCTGCTGCTACTGAAAAGGACAATGAGGATGACCAGAGTGACAAAGGTACTTACACTATTGAGTTGGAAAATCCCAATTCTGAAGAAGTGGAAGCTCGCAAAATGATTGACAAGGTGAGAAACCTAAAATGTGTACTGATTTTAGTGGTATGTGATGCGTGGGCAACAGTCTGCTACTTCAGTTCTACTTACTAAAGTGGCTGCAATAATACAAGTTTTAAAGTCAATCTATAGTGATGAAATAAGGAATGTCATAAAAGCAGCAGCAAGTATTTGCTTGCAAAAATTTTTGGCTAAAAATTATTCCTGTTTGATACCACTGTTCTTCTAGTTTCATAGTTTTAACATGTTTTCAAAAGATTTAAGTACCATAGGAAAACTAGGCAACAGAATTCAATTAACTGGTATTTTTGAGTGTTGTTAGGGTTGAATTTTCTTGTCCCTGAGGAAATACTCACCTGTTCTTAAAATCCTGTGGTATCTATAGTATTCAGTATAAAAATTGGTTCCATCCAAATTATCATGAAGAAATAAATATCATATAGAAATAAATTTTAAATATTTTCTGTATTTACAAATAACTGTATTCCATAACAGTGGCTTAAATTTCAGCATGCATTATAAAGACTAGGTATAAGAATGCTTTCATTTTCCAAAAATGCTTATATGATAGCAGTGTCATTTTCCTAGTTTGAATATAGGTACATGCTTCGTTAGGCTTAGGAATCTTACTATGGTCTGGTAACTTTCCTTCTTGGTAACAATATAAATACCAGTACAAATTGTATTTGCAGTTAAATAACTGCAAATAACTCTTTCTTTGGATTCAAAGGAAGTTGTGGGGAGGCAAAACTTTATTTAATGATTTGGCTTAACTGTTTCTTGAAGAGGATTTTTTTCTGTTACTCTTGTGTTTTCCTCAACAACCCATTGTGGTAGAGTGCTGCCATCCAATTCTAGCCAAATTTTTTGCCAATTTAACAGAAACTTCATTTCTTAGGTGTTAATTGTGTAAGGATTGATTTTGTGTGTCTAAACCTTTTTCAGAGCTGAATACATTCATACATTTAGAATGAATTTTGGCTGAATGTTGAAAAATATGTTTTGAAAGAAAAACTAGCTTTGCTGGTTTTGTTTTGTAGAAAAATGCTGACAGTGGATAAATGGGAAATTTTGTTTGATAAAAAGTGTTTATGGAGCATGGGGGTGGGGGAGGATTAAAATAAAGAGAATTGTCTTCAAGAAAATCGTAAGAGAGACTCTTAGGGACTCTGAAAAGGAGACTTGACTCTTTTGAGTCACTATTCAAAGAACTTCTGATAACTAACAACATTCCAAATGAAGCAAGTGAATATTAAAGAACTTCATTGCTTTGACTTAGTGACTACAAATATCTACATTTAACTCTTAAGTTACAAATCTTCAGTTGAATTGCGTCAGAAAATAATTAAGCCCTGTCTTTGCTAAGTGTAGTTCTGCAACAGGGTTTATTTGGAAACCTGAAAAAATAGTAACAGTTGGCAATAGGGAATTTATGTACTTTATGAAAATGTTAATACTGTCTAATGTTTAATAAGATTTCAAATTATTTCTGGGTTTTAATGTACATTCAGGACAGTCATGTTTTTTGTTTGAAACAAATATCTCCTGTTAGGTGAGATATTCAGGAATAGGAAGTGTAAGTGTTAGGGATCGTAGTAAAGTATTGGTTAATATTGTTAGTGTTGTATAAAATGCTTTTGGATATCACAAATACCCCTTAGTGCTAACCTAAAAAGTGTCACCAATAGAAGTTAAAGATTTATTAGGAAGTAAAGCAGAGATGTTTTTTCTCTGAGACCTTCTGTATCCTTCCACTTGACATCTGTAGTGAAGTATTACAAACAGTGTATTTTACACCCAGTTCAGAGAGTCCCGCTGCACAATTCTTATTCAATTTGGTAATATGAAATAAATATGATGCTGTTTTTATGAAGTGCAGCAAAACAGTGAAGAAAATCAAAACACAGTGGAAGACACAATTCCTTCTTCCAGCTGAGCTCAGCTTTGCTTCCCTCCTATTTTAATTTGCTAATGCTGTGGATTCTGTTACTTTGCTGAAGGTGAGTAAGTGAGGAATAAAACAAGGGCTTTTGATAGCCTGTTTACTGCTGTGCTGCTTTATTGAGGATTTAAGAGAATTACTGGTATATATTTTTCTCAGTAATTCCAGTATAACCTGTCTGTCTTTGTTCGCACGTCAGTCCTTTCTCTGAGCAGTTACGATGCCTGGTCAGTTGAGTCTCATTTAAGAGTGTCTGTTGGGTCAAAAGATTAACTGAAATTTAGAAGTTCTGTTGGCTAGGATTGGGGTGGAAAAGCACTAGAAATAGCAAGGATAACTTTCTAAAACATTTGCACAAATAATGCAGTCTTGTCAGTAACAATTTACGTTAGAATGCTGCTGAGTTCTGGGTTTGGTTTACCTGCAGGATTTCCTATGGAACAAAATACTTCTGGTTTGGGTATTTTTTTCCTTTTACTGTAAGAAAAGGGGAGAATGACCACGATACTCAAAGATTACTTTCAGTGTGTGGCTCATTCACTTGGAAAACCTTAGCGTTACCCTTACCCCTGTAGGAAGAGTCTATTCTTCTCGCTAGACAGGACCGTAAGAGCAAACTACCAATGCAAGAGTGGCATTAACTTGGCAAAAATCGAGATGTGATTAATAATGTTTCTTTGACTTAAGAACTCAGGAAAGGTATACAAGAATTCCCATTTAAAATTCACAGAAAAATGGAAGAAGAAATCTATCTGTATGATGTAAAAAAAAAAAATAAAAGGGTGTGTGTGTGTGGAGGAGAGACTTTAATGTTGAGCTGTATTGTTGCCTTCAAAAGTACCATTTTTGTTCAGTTTAGCCTTTTACTCAAGATTCTAGGAAATGGACCCAAGGAAAATCAATACTTATGTGAAATGGTTTAAAAAACCAAAAAGGATCCTGTCCTCTTTATTCAACATCTTGATTTCATTTAGATAATTAAGAATCCATTTTTTCCTCTGCTACTCTTTCAGTCTCTTTAGAAAAAAATATTGTCTCTACAGCAGAAAAGGAGTAGAGTAACAAACACACATTCTTTTTTTCTTGATTAGCTGGTTTTAGTTAAACCAAGACACTTGACCATTTTAAAGCCTGGCTTTTGAAAAGAGACTGTGAAAAAGATATAGAAATAATCAGAAGTAAAGAGGAAGACATTTTCTTAGTAAGAGATAAAAGATTTTTAGTGAGATGCTGTTCCTTGATGGAGAGATGTAATTATTTCTCTGCCATGGTAAGTGTCTCGGGGTGAATGTCTTTCACTTACTTAAAATGAAAGATTTCTGAAGTTGTGTTTTTACACAACTTTCAACGCCTAGATAATTTACTGAGCCAATGGAATTCAAATCAGACAGGGTATCATAGTCTGACAGGCAAGGTCACTGGAGTAAAATCAGTTTATATAAATGCCCATAGTGAGTGAACTGAATAGGAAAGGAGAAATCTGTGACATTGATTTACAAATTTGCAAGATAGTAAAAAAATTAGATTTAATTTTTAGGGTGAAAAAATAAAGTCATCATAAAAATAGTAAGCAGATGGTTTTCAGTTGGATGCATAAAATAAAAGATGCAAGACCTGTTCCATGCCTGGAGTCCTCTAAAGATTGTTCCTGTTTCATTTGTATGTCAGTTACTGATTTGGATTGATTGTATTTTAAAATCTTGTATGCTTACATCAGTCATGATAGGAACTGATGTGATTACTTAATATTATTTTCGGGAATGCTAATAATTATTTATTCTCTGCTGTTATTTGAATTTTATTCATAAACCTTTTACATATTGTCAGAGGAAGAAAATATCACTTCATGTGGCCAGCTTTTGACAGGTAACTTATGTTTAGAGTTGGTGTCGTGTTTCTTAGAACAAAAAAGACATCTTGGAGAATAAGTTAAAAAATACATTTTAAAAACTAAGTAAGTAGTTAAAAAAAGAAACAAACCCACACCATAACATTCTGTAGAAGTTAGGAGAAATCTCTAGCTGTGTTACTAGGCGGAGTCAGAGATTCAGTCATCATAAGAAGATTTCATAGCTGTTTATATTTAAAAATATAATACATACGCATGTACGTGTCCTGGACAAATGTCAAATCATGAGACTATCACAGAAGGAAAATGGGTATGGCTTAGGGGACTTTTGGATTGCTTTTGCTTACGCAAATTAAATTTCATATTTCTGATATTTCTGAATGGAAAGATTTGTCAGAGTTGTAGAGATAGTGGTTATAATTTTCAAACAGGTGTAATCTTCAGCTGTTACCCACTGTAACTGCCTTCTCTCCGTAGTCAATCAGCTGGTGAGAGTGTTAGCTCCACAATGTTCCTGTGCATACCTAGGATTCACCTGTGATTTTCACAAGTAGCACAAACCCATGTTCACAAAATCCATCTTGTAGCACTGAAATTTTTTCCAAAACACATATTAGTAGGAATTCTGACTCACTCTTTAATAACTTGACATTACTACTATTCCTTTGAAATCCTCTTGGGTTTTTTGATATTATAGATATTGAGTGAATACTGCCAGTATTACTGTGTTGTGGATTAACCCCAGCTGGCAACTAAGCACCACACAGCTGCTCACTGTCTCCCCTCCCCAGTGGTGGGATGGAGGAGAGAATTAGAAGGGGAAGAGTGAGAAAACTGGTGAGTAGAGATACAGGCAGTTTAACAGGTAAAGCAAAAGCTGCGCACACAAGCAAAGAAACACAAAGAATTCATTCACCACTTCCCATGGGCAGGCAGGTAGGTACTCAGCTATCCCTAAGGAAGCAGGGCTCCATCACATGTAACAGTTACTTGGGAAGACAAACGCCATCACTCCCAATGTCCCCCCCTTCCTCCTTCCCCCAGCTCTATATGCTGAACGTGACACCACATGGTATGGAACATCCCTTTGGTCAGTTGGGGTCGGCTGTCCTGGCTGTGTCCCCTCCCAACTGCTTGTGCACCCCCAGCCCCCTCGCTGGTGGGGTGGGGTCAGAGGCAGAAAAGGCCTTGACTCTGTGTAAGCCCTGCTCAGCAGTAACG